GTCGTCACAATTGTCTTCCAACATCACCAGCGATAACCAGTTTAAAAGTTAAAAATATTAAAAAAATCCTTTTGAGGCCCGTCTTAAAAAAAAAAGATTTTATAAATCATTTTGTTTGCCAAAGCAGGGTTGTATTGTGTACTACAGTTGTTGACAGCTGTTGAAACAAGTATTATGTGTCATTTTCTTTGTTGTTCCAAACAGTCGGAATACAAAATAAATGCTTGCTTTTTTGGGGACGAAACAGGTTTTAGGGTCATTGCGTTTAAAAGGTGATATTATATTAAATGACTTGCTCCAACGCCTTCTGTATTAACTCGGCAATTGAGATTTTTCATCCATATAATGCATGTTGTTTCCAATCTGTGTTCGCCGCATTTATGCGGTACCCGCTGCTATGTACATCAGATTCGAACCAGCCAACCGATCTAGCTCGGTGGTCGAGTGGTAAGACATCTGCACTAGAAAGCGGGAGGTCGTGGGTTCGAGTCCCACCAGAGTGATATTTCCAACTTTCACTCGGGAGGTAACAGTGTTAAAATGTCGATGAAGGGCAAAGCCTGATTTGATTTAATCTGTGTTCAATGGGTAGCTTTGCCACAATGTTGAGATCTCAAGCATTAATTTAATTTTGTTGATTGCAACATTGGCTTGTTGAAATACTGAAATCAGTTGCATTCCGAGAGTTTTTCCCCCTCAATGAATGTTGTCATTTTTTCCAAGAAGGTTATTCCTAAGCCTATACGCTCTAAAAAAAAACCCAGATTGACTGTAATAACCAATATTGGTTCCTAAGTATTCCCAACATTCATTTTAGTCAAGCTGCACCATCTGTTTCACCTCTCGCTTTCCTTTTATGACTTTTTGTAGAAAACTTATTGATTTCACTTTCTAGGAATTGTTTGGTATTCATCATCCTTCGGCTGCGGAGTAGTCGACTTCAAGCTTCTTCCATTTATTGCGATCTTGGGCAAGTGTTGCGATTTGGTCTGGTCGCGGCATGCCATCACTTTCTCCAAGCAAGCGTTGAATACAAGTTAGGTATGATGTGAGTTGTCTTCCTGGTCTCCTTCTCCGCTGGGGTGGTGTATAAAGGGCATACACGTTTGCAGGCTCTTCGTTTGGCATGCGGAGTATGTGTTTTGTATTACATGTATAGGAAAGTATAAAAAGGAAATGAAAGTATAAATGGAAAGAGCGACTTTATCATGTTTTGTTTTAAACTCCTTTTTATATATAAATAGGGTACAAAAAGAAAACATCTCCTGGTATCCTTGCAAGTTCAGAAAAGCTAGAGAGAAAAATGACATGGGTCAAATTTAAAAAATAAAGTATTTTATTCTGCAATCCACCACAAGCACGCTATTTGATCATATTTTACTTCTGAGAAAATAAAAGTTGATCCACTATTCAGCTTCTGCTTTATTTGTTCGCAATTCATCACTGACATTCGTTATCTTAAAAAAACCAAAGTATATAAATCTGTTTCTTCAAAAGTTCAGTGTTAACTGTCACCGCCAGTGATGAAGTTGAAGGAAAAATGTGCAACAATTTGATACATGTACATTGAAAATGTGAAGTAACCACAAACAGCATTACTAAACTGAAAGTCCTGTCACTTAGCATAACGTGGCAATGTTACTCATTGTGACTTTTGTCCCTAATCAAAATGGTAAACTAAACTTGTACATGTTTTGTGCACATTAGAACAATTTAATTTCTAGAATAATTCCAGTGCAGACTAATAACCCAAACAACAGATTCTAATTACGACAAGACCTAAAATAAAATTAATCTTTTGAGCACCTACTTTACTTTATAGTTCTTTTAGTAAACATACTCGTCTATACAGTCTACAGTTTGCAATCTTTAACAGATTATGTCCTCTTCAGCTGACATTTCTGTTGTCTCTATAATTACTGCAAAAATTGATAATGCACCACAGTTTTATATTATATAAATATACAATGACATTATGAAAAGCAAATGGTGTGGACATGAAGCTTAAAAAAAATGGAGATTTATATTTGATACACTCATTAGACAGAAATGCAGTGAACATTTAGTACCGGAAGATCAAATAATGGGAGGTTTGCGTTAAGGAAGCATCATGTGTAAAGTGGATAAGAAAACCATTATGATGTGAAGAAGGAGCAATGTACCCTCGTGGCTTGTTCGAAAATGCTGGAAAAACCAAGAAAAACAAAATGTTCAAGTAGTCTGGCTCCCAGACTCCACTACAGATGAAGGATAAAAAATGCCGGAAATTGTAAGGTAAGGGAACCAGTCTAGCTTGCCTGCACCCGTTCATGAACATGCATGGAACAAATAGCAAACAAAATTTGGACTGAAAAAAATGGTAAATTAGGTTAGGTTTTTTCAACGGTGGTCGGCCGACCACCGAAGTTGGAAATGTATACAAAAGTACCATTTGAAAATGACTTCACACCAGATGCCCTAATTTTACAGTATGCTTTAGACTGTCATTTATTACCAACATCCTATTAAGGTATTTCGTAACAACTTGGTAGTTTTATATATGAATTTGCTACCCCCACTTTTGTTCACTTAATTTTACAGTTTAAATCTGGCGCGCAGAGTACCACACAGAGGTCCAGGGCTACATAATCGGATTAACGCTGGCCCTGTGTGGCTGTGCGTTCAACCCTAAAATGTGGCCCGGTACATTCCATTCATAAAATGGTTAAAACAAACCTATACATGACAATGTAGGATTTGTGCACATATCGATGTGAAGGTGTGCCTAGTAGTACAACTTCTTGTCCGATTTTGTCAAACTTGATATAAACATCTTATTTCATTTTTGCATTCTTCAAGAAATCTGACGTATACACTAACGTGTATATGCATATAGATATCCTCCCCACAAACAAAATGGTACAGCCCAATAAACAAGCGCACGTTCTTTCCATCACAAATTTCTATAACTGCCTTGAAGTGAACAGTATTCAGATCCAAAATTACATTATTTTAAAATGAAATTAACTCCTAAAAAGACCACAGTTTTAATGCCAGATAACTGATTTACAAATGGATAGTTTTTAAATGTCTTATCTAAAGTAGAATTGGAGAAAATGTGTTTTGAAAAACAGGTGATGAGCAAAGTCCAAGATCACGAAACACGTGGTAAGCAATGGTACATTGATGTAAGTCTCGAACGATGCCTTATCGATCGAATGTTGTCATTGGCCACTTTTTTTCTTTGTGAAAAGTACGGCGGTTTTTTTCAACCTAATCATAACAAGTTTAACATGTAAGGAAAGAGGAGGAGCTAAGCTATTCGATTCCGTTTACCCCCACACAATTTGATACTCTAGTCAGGAGTTACAGTCAAAAGAGTTGACGCGAGGGCGCTCAATCGGTGCGTTTACACAGGAAAATGATGAAAAGTTCACATTTTCCAAGCCGAAAGTACGTGGATTTTTTTCAAGATAAAAAAAATAACATATACCATGAGAAAGAGAAAGAGTTAAATTGTACAGAACCGTTTACCCCCATTGAAAAAGACCGCTTGGTTATCAAACTATGACTCGAAACATCGAAAAAGGGGGCATTTTTACCGGGATTCTCGCCCGGAAACTGGCCTGCACAGAGGTTTGAGCTTAAGTGAACACAACAAATTCAGTGAGTTCTCGATATGATGGCTCCACACATGATTTGTTTTCTCATGAACACGCATGCTGGAATTTGCATCCTTGTGGAGTAATTCCTTTGTTCTCGTGTACTTAAGTTTTCAAGCTTGAAGGTGTACCTGCAAATGCGCCTCTTTTAACCACAATTCATTTTCTGAGTTGAAATTCGGACTTAATAACCCTTACATAAAATACTTCAATTTGCGATTCGAAATTCCTAGTTTTTGAGCAAAATCCATTTATCTATTTCGTGATAACCTTTTGGAAATTCACGTATAGAAATTGCTCTGTGGAGACGTTTACAATCTTTTGTGCAAATGTCTCCACAGGGTACCGTGTACCAGATCAAACATATGTGTGAAGTTTAATGCGTTTATCAAACTCAGGCACGATCTTTACACACTGGATATCATCCCATACCTGAATCTACTACCTTATGGAGTCCTGCCCTGTGGAGACAAAGTTATCAGTGCCTGACTATCCTTATAAATCATCCTTGTGGAGACGAATTGTGTGTAGGTAATTTGCATAGTGCATGAAATTTAACCAATCACAGACTTTCTACTTTATTCAAGGATTGAATGTGTTACCCCATGGAGACCCTTGTTGTAATGATTCACTTTTGCTTCCAATTTTTTTTCGGATTAAATATGAGAAAAGTGCATGAAATTTAGCCAATCACAGACTTTCTACTTTATTCAAGGATTGAATGTGTTGTTACCCTATGGAGACCCATTTGCTTCATTTTTTTCCGGAATTAATATGCAGGCATGCAACTGGGAAATCACAAACAAAAGAGGAAATTCACATTTTTCCCAGACTTTGTACAGTGTTTTTCTATTTTCAATGGCACACATGGGAAGTAAAAAAAGACGAAATCAGCTGATCTGAGGAAAAGTTGCATGCCTGAATATGAGAAAACAATCAGACACAATGTTTGGGGCTTATATCAGTATCACTATTCAAACTGAATATTTATTTTCAAATGACAGCAAGAGCAGTTGTGACCTGTCCCGATTTCAAATCCTTACAAATCCTAAAAAAAAAAAAAAACATTTTCGTTTGCGATAATCACATAATATTGGGTCCAGTCTCCAAAGATCACATCTTCTGTGCAATAACAATACAACTTGCCTCATTACTTAAAATCCGGCTCCTGAAATATAATGCCGTATACATGTTATATTTAGGACCCCCCCCCCAAAAAAAACAAGGAAATAATGTTGCAGCCTGACGCCAATTTTTCTTCATATATCATCTCAATGAAGGTCAGTTATTGCAAAAAAATGATGATAAGACATGAATCCGGGACTTTCCAATTTTTTTAGGAAATATTTGGACAGTTTTCTTGATTATAGACTTTGTACACAACTGCTGAAGTGCAGGTTGCAACATTTTTTCCAAAAACAACATCGGCTTATGTTACCTATGTACCCTTTTTTGAAGACCCGGACATTATTTTTGTCAGGAAAATTGTTTTATCCCCCTCCAAAATAAAACCAAAAAAACCCATCAAAACCCATACATAACTACCTTTTACCCTTGACTACATGCAGACACCTACACAAATGTACATAAAGATCCCCCCAAAATATGTCATTTTGAAGCAGAATTTTCCAGGGGCCTTAACTCACGTACTAGAGAAAAGACTGTGTCTTGAGGTAAAATGCTGCAAATAACACTTTGCCGCCCTTCAACTTACAGAAAAGTACATACAAGTCTGTAAAATCGACCATTCAACAGACAAAAATCACTTCCACTTTTTGGAATTGTTGAAATTTGCTGTGAATATATATTATAATGTGACTGACTTTATGTACCGGTATGTGATTTGTTTTCAAATAGATTCTCCCTGGATAAAATATTTTTAATCGAAACCCCAGAGTTTTTTTGTCAAAAATGTTCTCAAACATCAACTATTACAATAACCACTTTAACAATCGAAAAACCCAATAACTTTTATTAAATTTAAACATGAACACTCAAATAGTCCTGGTACTTTACTGGATGACAATAAAACTTTGATTCGCATTTCACAATCACATTTTACACCAGCAACTAATGACTGTACTCTACCGGTACGCTCAAATAGTCCTGATATGGCGATAAACCTTTGATTTGCATTTCACAATTACATTGACAGTTGAGAGATGTATTTCCACCAGTCACCAAAGGCAGTACTCTACCTTTAATGCATTTGTCGAGAGTGGTGACTAACAATGAGTTGGGGTCAAGTGATTTTCATAAACAAGCATTATTCGAAAACATACAATTAGTAAGAAAATTCCTTTGATAAAAAACACACATATATCAACTGAAGCTCCATAACTTTGCTGCCCTACCACTTGAGGACAAAATCAACATAAGAAAAAATTACTCCAACCTATCCATTTGAAATTATTAGAATTTACTGTGAATATAATGTGACTGAATTCATAGAAGTTATTGTTTGTCTTATTTTCCCCCTGAAAACAGGCTCTCCATATAAAGAATGTTTTGATGAAAAATCCATTTATTACAATACATTTGTTTGATTTGCAAACCATCCAAGTTTTTTTTGTCAAAAACGTTCTCAAACATCAACTATTACAATAACCACTCTAACAATCGACAAAGCCCAATAACTGTTATTAAATTTTTAGCATGAGTACTCGAATAGTCCTGATACTTTTCTTGATGGCGATAAACCTTTGATTCGCATATTTCACAATTACATTGAAAGTTGAGAGTTGTATTTCCACCAGTCACCAATGGCAGTACTCTACCTTTAATGCATTTGTCGAGGGGGGTGACTTATTATGAGGTGGGGTCAAGTGATTTTCATACACACATTATTCGAAAACATACAATTAGTAAGAAAATTCCTTTGATAAAAAAACACACGATATATCAACTGAAGCTTCATAACTTTGCCGCCCTACCACTTGAGGACAAATTCAACGGAGACAAAATATACTCCAACCTATCCGTTTGAAATTATTAGAATTTACTGTGAATATAATGTGACTGAATTCATAGAAGTTATTGTTTGTCTTATTTTCCCCCTGAAAACAGGCTCTCCATACAAAGAATGTTTTGATGAAAAATCCATTTATTACAATACATTTGTTTGATTTGCAAACCACCCAAGTTTTTTTTGTCAAAAGCGTTCTCAAACATCAACTATTACAATAACCACTCTAACAATCGACAAAGCCCAATAACTGTTATTAAATTTTTAGCATGAGCACTCGAATAGTCCTGATACTTTCCTTGATGGCGATAAACCTTTGATTTGCATATTTCACAATTACATTGAAAGTTGAGAGTTGTATTTCCACCAGTCACCAATGGCAGTACTCTACCTTTAATGCATTTGTCGAGAGTGGTGACTAACAATGAGTTGGGGTCAAGTGATTTTCATAAACAAGCATTATTCGAAAACATACAATTAGTAAGAAAATTCCTTTGAAAAAAAAAACATGATATATCAACTGAAGCTTCATAACTTTGCCGCCCTACAACTTGAGGACAAAATCAACATAAGAAAAAATTACTCCAACCTTTCAGCTTGAAATTATTAGAATTTAATGTGAATATAATGTGACTGAAAGTGAATGTTTGTCTTTTTTATGAAAATAGGCTCTCCCTTGATAGAATGTTTTGGTTAAAAATCCATTAATTACAATACATTGGTTTGATTTGCAAATCCCCCAAGTTTTTCATCAAAAACATTCTCAAACATCAACTTTAACATTAATTACTTTCAACTCCAACAATCGATTATTACTTTCAACTCCAACGATCGATAATACCCAATCACTGTTGTTTAATTGAAACACAAATACTTTAAAGATTATGCAGGAAAATGTGGTGCATGTACATGTATTTCATGGGTTATTAAGAAGAGGCTCTCAGGTCAAATTCAATATTTTTTTCCTACACACACTTTCTAATAGCCAGAGTCCTTATGAAAGTTGAAAACAGATCACAAGTCTCTTGCCTAATATTTAAATGGTAAAAAATATCATTTTATTTTGATACCCTTCCATTAAAAATTGAAAAAAAAATTTGTCATATTAACAACTATATACCGGTAGGTCTGTACATTTTTTGAAAGGGAATTCTCAGTTCATGTCTGCGTGTGCATGACTATCAATCAAAGTGAGGTAGATTTAAGATTCTTTAATAAAATCTTGACTTAAATAGTCCGTGAAATCTGTTGATTTTTTTTTCCACATGCCTTTACATTTTGAACACAACTTATTTGAAAACTATTTTAAACATCAAGGCAATACTCAGCGGCGATAAAGTTCAGGTTCCAAGCCTTAAAATGGTATAAAAATAATAGTGGTACTTTTTCCGCACCGATGCTAGAGCCTCGTCAAAAAAGCTGCAGGCTTTCTGGGACACACGCTGTATTAAATATACAGGCCTACTTTTTGTTTGTACAAGTGTCGTCACGCTCAGGTTTCATACAAAAGGAGCATCAACTAAAAAGACTTTTGACAACATTTTAATGGAGGTTTTCCCACTGCCATGATTACTCCCTTGAGGATTCTTTGACTATTGGAAAAAAAAGTGCAGAAAAAAAATAAAAAGACTTTAGAGCCCCTCTTCAAGCTACATGTACGTTACTGTTTCGTGTGGTACTTAACACACAGTACCAATACAAAGCACTGTAGTACTTTGTACTGCAGTAGCCTTTATCTTGTGCTTTTTCTCCTGACCGCGTTTATTATATTATAGACCTTATACTTACGCACTGCCAGGTTCTTTTGTCCAATATGGGAACTGAAGCTGTGATACAAGCTTGACATTCCTTCTTCCCTGGTACCTTTTCTTTCAAGATGAGTTCTCTCATTTGTGCCCAGATGCAGGATGTCTCTTGTTTGGACCAAGGAAATTTGTCTCCTAAATAGAAATATTTGTAAATAAACATAAATATTTTTATAAACAAATTATTCCACATGATAAATGTACAATGTACATGTACGCAGTCAATTTTAGCAACCATCCTATATTACAAATGTAGAAGTCTTTTTCAAATGCAATCATGATAATAAAAAGAAAGATGTTATAAATTACACCATCAGTGCATAAATTAAATATTTACATTACACGTATTGCCCATGGCAACACTATTGTCTGGGCTAAATTATATAATGTCACCTTTTTTAGAAAGGTGGGAGAAAGGCTCAGTTTCAGACGTGGAAATGGTGCATTTCCCATAATAAATCCTATTTAAATAAAAACTACAATCACTACAGTTATATGTAAATACAACTTCTCAAATCAAACTCAACTCTTACAGAGTTATGTCAATGACAGCACTTTATAATCACTCAGAAGTGTTAAATCAAAATTGATTGGGTTAAATTCAACATGTTAACATGATTAATTAAAACATATACGGGGTGTGTATAAAAATAGGAAACCCAAAAGTAAATGAATATGTACAAAATCAAATAACTTTTTCCTCATAAATTATAGACAAGTGTCTGTGACCATGGATGACTGGCTGGTTTGTTATGCAACGGCTGAAATGGCAGTGGGCGAAATGGGACAACATTCAAAGCTTTGTGTGGAAAGTAGAGGTGGAAGTGACATTAAAGACATTGGTTCAAAAGGAGTTAACTTCAACAATGAGAGTGGTTTAATCACAGTGTCAACATTGAATAATTTGTTGTCAAGAAAATGTTGTCTTCTTTCGTTAAAAAAAGCCGGTTCACATGCCCTGAATACCAATTGCCAGTTTGCAACAACTTGGCCCAGTGCAGGTTTTGACCCTTGACAGAATAACAGTGACTGCTCAGTCATCCATGGTCACAGACACACAATCAGGGTATCACTGGAAAGAGGAGACATGGATCTTTCATTTGGTCTATAATTTATTTGGAAATGTTCATTAGATATTATATAAATTACAATTGGGTTTCCTTTTTTTTGTGGAACCGCCCTGTATGCAGGTCGTTTTAAATTTTTAAAGAGTTTTCACAGATCAATCTTTTTTTATCAGAAACATGTGTTTTGCAAACAATATCATGGAACCCACCCTTTCCTGATACACGAAGAGGTCTTGATCCTTCAGCTAACTCGGATGGCATCTCACGTGAGCTGGATCTGGTTTCAGTTTCGACTAAAGAATACACAAAAAAAATATGTTTCTAAACAAATGTTAAGGATGCAGGCCCTGTTCCTTGCCTGTGTGTTACACATTATATTGTTTAATGTAATACAGCTACATCTTGCAGTGGTTGGGATGTAGACAGACTGACCATTCAACCCAAGACCACAAGAATGCAGGACTGAGTTTCCCCAGCTAAGGTGGATCACACATTCTGGATGCATGGTTCCTCTTCTTGAAATTTTTTTGGGATAGCCAATCACAAGGCCCAAGACGGGCCACTCAAGGTGACGACTAAAAAGGAAGAATGGGAATAATCAAAGAGGAAATGAAAAAAGTAGAAAGACGACTATTGATGTTGCATTTTAATTGAGACAGATCGTAAGTGGATTGAAAGCAGGATGCAAGAAGTGAGGGGAAAAACTGGATGAGTATCTCCTAGTATTCGCTTTGGGGAAAACAGTGTAAGGATGAGAATGGGCAGATAAACATGTGGAGCAGCAAAATGTATGTTTAGGTGGAACAACCAGTGGAAGTCCACTGGAGCACCTGCCAAATTAACATATGTAAAAGAGGCTCAAAGAAGCTACAGAACGACTGAGAGGTTCCAGGGAAGAAGCTAGGTCACGTCCTACTAGATTTGCAATACGTCTTTAAATTTTTTTCAAGCAGGGACAAATGACAAGCTGGAGCACCAGCCCAAATATGACAACAGTATTCCATGACAGCACACATTGTGGACTTATACAAGTAGAGCATAACTGCTGGAGGAAGATATTGCCGGGCACGACATAAGCAGCCTACTATCAATGGGCCTGATATCATGTACATGTATCAAGAAAGTAGTAAGTTAAACTGAAATGTTTATAGTTGCTTTAGTAACAATTCAATTTAATTTCACTTAGGCATGGGCGTTGCACAGGGGGGCAAGGAGGGGGGGCGCTTGCCCCCCCCCCCCTGGAAAAGCAACCAAAAAAAAATAGGAAGGAAGAAAAAAAAAGAAGAAAAAAGAAAAGAAAAAGAGGCGCGAAGTCATAGTGGTGTAAATTTAATGAGTTGGGGGGGGGGGGGGCAAATATCAACCTACCTCTTCTTGGAGTACACCTAGGTGCACATGAAGGGCTTGGTTCTCTGGCTGATGATGACTTGTTGAAACAGGTTTGAAGTGAGACTAGAAAAAAAAGAAGAAGACTTTTATTGAAAATTAAATTTCAACAAAATGATTTTGCATGGAATTTATAAACATTCATTGAACAGTTATCCGTAGAATTTTCCACAAAGAAAACAGGAAGGTAACAGGTAATTTTTATGTCATCTTTCAAAGCTCCAGTCAGTAGCCGTGTCACTCGTAGCTGCTCTATTTTCTTGTCTACACAATTGATAGCAACGCGAGGCCAGCGAATGATGGCCGTAAAAAGGGCTTCAGAAAATTCGCAATTTTCTTGGCAAACCACAACCGATCCAAACAAACAAAGTTGTTTTGGGTAGTTAAAGACCTACTACATACATTCATCAAGGTATTTTTTTCTATAAAGAAAGATTTCCATGCATTTTGACGATATTATTTCACGGACAAATCGACTAAAAATTAGGTCATGCAATTTCCGGTGTTTTTTTTAGAACGACGAAAGTCTCCCAAAGTAATCAAAGGAAAGAGTGAACCTTCATCTACAAGTAATCTCGTGAACGTGATGTCGTTAGTATTTAAAGAATTCTATGTACACCTAATGTTTCCAACAACTTTCATTTTTCACAACGCGAAAAGATCGTCACCATTGTAAAGCATAGAGTGAGGAACCCAAACACGGTGTGACCTTGTGACCCCATACGCATCGCCTGCACACTGATTAGTCGAGCTTGAGATGGCCTGCTTAATATTCATAAGTCATTCATTGCACGTTCGCACGTGCTGTTCAGGCTGTTGGCCTACTTACGTTCATTTACATGCGTACATGTGATTGTGAATCATGAAATCTCGCAAAAGTCTTCATTTTTTAACAGGCAATTTGGACCAAACATTAGAAGACTTCTGCACGTGTTTCACATGAAAATGAAGCGTATACTTGCCTTTATGTACTAAGCCTTGACATTTGTTTTGGCCTTTTTTAAGAATCGAATGTACACCTAAAAATTAACGGCCCTCGATTTTGTTGATAAAAAATATGATTTTGTTTGACAGGCCATAACAACACTTTATATTTGTCAAAAGCAGTTATTTTTGTTATCAAAATAAAACACACGATTTCCACTTTTTGACTTATTTAGCCATCTTGGCCAAACAGTGCATGTATTGAGGCACTTTTTGTGTTTTTCTGTAATCTCGAATACATCTCGTAAAATCTTGCGTACGCTTTTGGGCCATGCGTGCTTGACCTCGGGACGAGAAACTGACGTCAAACAGGGCTGTGTGCGTGACACGGCTACTGACTGGCTCTCTCAATTCATTATGTAATTTCAATTCCAATTATAATGGTAATGAATCAAGGCAGGCAATGCACCCTTGTTTCAATTTATTTGATGTCTTTAGCCAACATGAGTTAGTTATATCCCATAATGTAGCTGCATGAGCTGCACAGGAATAGTAAAGTTAATGTTTGTAAAAAATTTGTTAAATCTACCCTGGTTCATTTCCTGTTCATCTTCATCTCCATCGTCATCAATTTCATCAGTTGCTTCCATCTCAATATCTGCATATAATTTACAAAAACAATATCCAATGAAGAAGTGGGTAGCCAGTAAGAAAAACTAGAAGCCCAATATAACAACAAATACCCCACACACAACAAATACCCCAAACACACCAAAGAAAGGACAGACAAACAAACAACCAAACAGACAGACAGACAGACAATATAGACGATTATGACAATTTTGAAAATTTTGATGAGAAAACTTGTTTTTCTGGTAGTGCTACACATCTATTGTGCCAATATTCTCATTATTAAGTAAATGTAAACAGACCAAATGTGAAAAGGCTTAGTCTTGCTGCAGAATAAAGACCTCTAGGTTGTGATCATATTGGCAAGAAAAGTGTGCCTTCTGCTCTGTACTCTACTGTCATGGCATGCAACACCCCATCTGTCTGAATCTTGCAACTATGACCACAACCTAACTTTTAATCCTATATTGAATTAATTGTTCTTTCTTATAACCACAAATGCCGTTTAATAAGGAGACACTTAATGGTCATAACTAGCACCTTAGGGAGACAAAATGGAATATGCTGACATTTCAATGTCACCCTTATGTCTCAGCTCCTATTTAGAGGCAGATTTTTAATGCCGTAAATAGGCTACATTGATTTCAGATTTGTATTCAAGGCACTGCAAGTGGATCACAAGTCCCTACAAGTCCATCACAAGTCTTTTAGTCTTATCACTAGCTTTTCAAATGAACCGCTTCAAAAGCATTCATTTGTCATTGTTCATCAATAGTTTCTTGTGAATGGCATTTATGGAAAGACTTGTGAGTGGATTTGTGAAACGTCTTGCAGGGAACTTGAATACAACTCTGACTCCTGGTCCCAAAAAATAATACCATAAACATATTGGGGTTGGATGGTGTAAAATTGGGGTTAAGGGTCAGAAAAGGTGGAATCTGATGTAAAGGTCCATAGGAAAGTCTCCCTTAAGTAAGGTACCACTACAGTATTGGTAAGTATGTGTATTTATTTACCTTCAACTTGTATGTCATCCAGAGACTTGCCTGCCCATTGGCCCACATCACCAGCATCAATGGCCATCAATAACTTGGAGACCTTGCACAGTTCAATTGTTGAGTCCTGCACCCTGTAGAAGTCTTTATGTATGTTGACGCTATGGCCAAGATGGCTAGCAACCCATTCTAATTGGTGTGGCTGTAGGCTTAGAATCTGTGCAACTGTTGCAGTGTATTTCTGCATTTTAGTTGTGCGGATGTCTTGTGGTGAGTCAAGAGACACTTCTGAGATAATTTCTTTGAGAACATGACCAGCCTGCATGTGTGTGGATGGTGTGTTTCTCGCAAACATATACTGGTTGGATGGAGGAATGAAAAGATGCCTCAACTTGGAAATTGCATTTAGTGATTTACTGCAGTCTGGAGGAACAATAACAGGGACTGTTCGCCCCCGTTTTCCAATCATCTTCAAGAGGTCGTGACTCTCAAGCAGCTTCTTTTCAAGAGATGTCATCTGGCATAACAGCTCTTCTACCCTTGAGTTGTTCCATCCTGGTCGATTAATGTATGTGTCAGTGGTGATCTGTGAGAGCTCCAATGGCCGTCGTTTGTTGAACAACAAGAGACGTACAAGTGTGACTTTCTGCATCCGCTTTAAAAAGCTGTAGTTGGCAGTAGAAGAAGTTGTGAACATTTCATTGCATTTCTTAACCTCACTGGTAACATACTTGGACAGTTTCTGAAGGTCACTGGTTTTAGGTAAACTCACAGGTTTCTTGCTTTTGCGAGTGTTAAGGGTATTGCAAGCTGAGGCAGAAACTTTAAGACCCCATTCTGATCTATGTAGCTGCAGAAACTTATTAGCTTCCTCTTCAGATGTGATGTCATGGGATCGTATGGCCCTTCCTCTTTTAATCCGAGCAAGCCAGGCCAAATCATATCCTGCTTTGAGGGCAAACGATGGACGCTGTAGCTCATGATCACCACCTTCCCCCTCATCCTGTCCTGCCAAATCCTCAACAGCTTGAATTACAGCATCAAACTTAGATGGCTTTAAGAAGTCACCCATAGTTACTCCGCCATCATTTACAAGTTTTTCACAAAACAAACACGCATTGAATTTGTTGTAAGCTCGGATCAAACCACCCTCTACCTCCTTCTGTTTGTAATACTCGATGTGGATTTCATCAAATGAGGAGTCACTTCCATCAGAAGATGAATCAGAAGACGGTTGCACTTTGCCATTAGCTTCTAGCTCTGCTTTACCTCTGCAAGGCCGTGGTTGGAATTGTGAGCTATTATCTGTTAGCTGGTCAAATACAATTGATTCCTCATCAGATTCAGATTCATCTGACTCCGAACCATGATAGTCTGAACTATTCTCTGAAGTGTCTGATGAGTCCTCTTCAGTTGCACTTTCTGAATTGTCAGTCGTCATCTGCACAGTTTTGCCATGAGCTTGTATGACTTTATTTTGGAAGGGCAGTTTTACAGGCTCCTGCAACAAATGACGATCATCAATGATAGAATGAAAACTTTCCATATCTATGTGACATTCGGTTTTCTGATTGCCATACACATATCCTCCACAAATATCTTCCAGGATATCAAAAGCTGAAGGATCAGGACGACATGGCACGTCTGTTGACAACATGTGAATAGGAATGCTTGCTATATTTGGTTACATCAGTGGCACAAGACACCTCAGACAGACTGCTTGGACGAGTGCTTAAGAGCATTGTGCTATTGGTGGCATCATCAGTAGACCCGGAGTCGACAGTAGGAAGCACCTCAGACAGACTGCTTGGACGAATGCTTGTGAGCATTGTGCTATTGGTGACATTATCAGTGGACCTAGAGTCGACAGTAGGAAGCACCTCAGACAGACTGCTTGGACGAATGCTTGCCAGCATTGTGCTATTGGTGACATCATCAGTAGACCCAGAGTCGACAGTAGGAAGCACCTCAGACAGACTGCTTGGACAAATGCTTGCAAGCATTGTGTTATTGGTGACATTATCAGTGGACCTAGAGTCGACAGTAGGAAGCACCTCAGACAGACTTCTTGGACGAATGCTTGCCAGCATTGTGCTATTGGTGACAGTAGGAAGCACCTCAGACAGACTGCTTGGACGAGTGCTTGCTAGCATTGCGCTATTGGTGGCATCATCAGTTGACTCAGAGTCCACAGTAGGAAGCACTTCAGACAGACTGCTTGGACGAATACTTAAGAGCATTGTGCTATCGGTGACATCATCAGTAGACCCAGAGTCGACAGTAGGAAGCACCGCAGACAGACTGCTTGGACGAGTGCTCGTGAGCATTGTGCTATCGGTGGCATCATTAGTGGACCCAGAGTCGACAGTAGGAAGCACCTCAGACAGACTGCTTGGACAAATGCTTGAGACCATTGTGCTATTGTTGACATCATCAGTAGACCCAGAGTTGACAGTAGGAAGCACCTCAGACAGACTGCTTGGACGAGTGCTTGTGAGCATTGTGCTATCGGTGGCATCATTAGTGGACCCAGAGTCGACGGTAGGAAGCACCTCAGACAGACTGCTTGGACAAATGCTTGAGAGCATTGTGCTATTGGTGACATCACCAGTAGACCCAGAGTCGACAGTAGAAAGCACCTCAGACAGACTGCTTGGACGAATGCTTGTAAGCATTGTCCTATTGGTGGCAATATCAGTGGACCCAGAGTCGACAGTAGGACGCACCTCAGACAGACTGCTTGGACTAAGGCTTGTGAGCATTGTGCTATTGGTGACATCACCAGTAGACCCAGAGTCGACAGTAGGAAGCACCTCAGACAGACTGCTTGGACGAATGCTTGAGAGCATTGTGCTATTGGTGACATCACCAGTAGACCAAGAGTCGACAGTAGAAAGCACCAAAGACAGACTGCTTGGAAGAATGCATGTGAGCATTGTGTTATTGGTGACATCATCGGTAGACCCAGAGTCGACAGTAGGAAGCACCTCAGACAGACTGCTTGGACAAATGCTTGCGAGCATTGTGCTATTGGTGACATTATCAGTGAACCCAGAGTTGACAGTAGGAAGCACCTCAGACAGACTGCTTGGACAATTGCTTGCGAGCATTGTGCTATTGGTGACATTATCAGTGGACCCAGAGTTGACAGAAGGAAGCACCTCAGACAGACTGCTTGGACTAAGGCTAGCGAGCATTGTGCTATTGGTGACATCATCAGTGGACCCAGAGTCGACAGAAGGAAGCACCTCAGACAGACTGCTTGGACTAATGCTTGCAAGCATTGTGCTATTGGTGGCATCATTAGTTGAATCAGGTTTGACAGTAGGAAGCACCTCAGACGGACTGCTTGGACGAGTGCTTGCCAGCATTGTGCTAGTGGTGACATTATCAGTGGACCCAGAGTCGACAGTAGGAAGCACCTCAGACAGACTGCTTGGACGAATGCTTAAGAGCATTGTGCTATTGGTGACATTATCAGTAGACCCAGAGTTGACAGTAGGAAGCACCTCAGACAGACTGCTTGGACGAATACTTAAGAGCATTGTGCTATCGGTGACATCATCAGTAGACCCAGAGTCGACAGTAGGAAGCACCTGAGACAGACTGCTTGGACGAGTGCTTGTGAGCATTGTGCTATTGGTGACATCATTAGTGGACCTGGAGTTGACAGTAGGAAGCACCTCAGACAGACTGCTTGGACAAATGCTTGAGAGCATTGTGCTATTGGTGACATCACCAGTAGACCCAGAGTCGACAGTAGGAAGCACCTCAGACAGACTGCTTCGATGAGTGATTGAGAGCATTGTGCTATTGGTGACCTTATCAGTGGACCCAGAGTCGACAGTAGGAAGCACCTCAGACAGACTGCTTGGACGAGTGCTTGTGAGCATTGTGCTATCGGTGGCATCATTAGTGGACCCAGAGTCGACAGTAGGAAGCACCTCAGACAGACTGCTTGGACAAATGCTTGCGAGCATTGTGCTATTGGTGACCTTACCAGTGGACCCAGAGTCGACAGTAGGAAGCACCTCAGACAGACTGCTTGGACTAAGACTGGTGAGCATTGTGCTATTGGTGACAGTAGGAAGCACCTCAGACAGACTGCTTGGACTAAGGCTTGTGAGCATTGTGCTATTGGTGACAAGACTGCTTGGAATGCTTGACACAGGACAATTATCTTCAGGATTGCAGTGAATATCTGGGTGTGTAGTTTGTGAAATGCATCTATTACTCTTCCTCCATGGCAAACAGATGTCACCATAGTCATAGGTAAGTTCTTGCCCAACGGAAATGTCCCTTAATGCAAAAAGAAACAAGTAAGGGATGCCACTGAAGACTCTTTTTTTCATGACACACAAGGGAATGACATGGTCATCATTCACTAGTCCTCCAAGCCTGGAATCATCATGGGTGGCATCAATACTGCAGGTCAACAAGACAAAAAAAAACAGTGCATAAGTTTGACTGCTCAATAAAAATACATCAGGCACATTTTCCGAATTAGAGCATGATAAGGGCATTCATCACAAATCATGGGTTACACATTTTCTGAATTTGATTATTTTCCAAACATGCATGGACTTACTCCATAGAGCATTCATCACCAATCATGGGTCACACAATTTTCTGAATTTGATTATTTACACATTTTCTGAATTTGATTATTTTCCAAACATGCATGGACTTACTCCATAGGGCATTCATCACCAATCATGGGTTACACATTTTCTGAATTTGATTATTTTCCAAACATGCATGGACTGACTCCATAGGGCATTCATCACCAATCATGGGTTACACATTTTCTGAATTTGATTATTTACACACTTTCTGAATTGGATTATTTTCCAAACATGCATGGACTTACTCCATAGGGCATTCATCACCAATCATGGGTTACACATTTTCTGAATTTGATTATTTTCCAAACATGCATGGACTGACTCCATAGGGCATTCATCACCAATCATGGGTTACACATTTTCTGAATTTGATTATTTACACACTTTCTGAATTGGATTATTTTCCAAACATGCATGGACTTACTCCATAGGGCATTCATCACCAATCATGGGTTACACATTTTCTGAATTTGATTATTTCCCAAACATGCATAAACTGACTCCATAGGGCATTCATCACCAATCATGGGTTACACATTTTCTGAATTTGATTATTTTTCAAACATGCATGGACTGATTCCATAGGGCATTCATCACTAATCATGGGTGACACATTTTCTGAATTTGATTATTTCCTAAACATGCATGGACTGATTCCATAGGGCATTCATCACCAATCATGGGCTACACATTTTCTGAATTTGATTATTTTCCAAACATGCATGGACTGACTCCATAGGGCATTCATCACCAATTATTTTTTTAAACAGTTTTCTGAATTTGATTATTTTCCAAACATGCATGGACCTACTCCATAGGGCATTCATCACCAATCATGGGTTACACATTTTCTGAATTTGATTATTTACACATTTTCTGAATTTTATTATTTCTCAAACAAGAATGGACTGACTGTGATATGATATGATAGAATAATGACAAGACTAACGATGTATTAAGTGAAGTTCTGTAGCTCATGTTCCACGCTCCATGTACAGTAATCAAGTTACCCTGGGAGGTATAGATCAAAGGTTATATGAATATGCATGGTCCCATTACATCCCCCCTTTTGAGAACAAAATCTATGAATGAAAGTGAGGGTTAAATGAACTAGATTTTGTAGCAAATTTGGAAATACATATACAATGCATTGTCCTGTGTGTCGAAGGAATGAACTAATCGCCAAATTATCATCTAATTTGCTGAACCAAGTAGGAAACTTTTCTACTTGGTGTTGTAACACATCCTTTTCGCACAATTTTCTCTTATTTTCTAAATGACAAAAACAAAACTTAAAATTTGTCTGCATAAAAAATTGTTTCTTTGTTGAACAAAGTGAACTAAAATTGTCTTTACTTAGTTACTTTTTTCTTTTACGCTAGTACTTCTTTCTGTGCCTTGTAACGACAAAAAAATACATTAAAAGAATAAAACTTAAAAAAAAAATGAATTTGTTGTCTCTAAGCGTTACTTGAAACAGGCTTATGTTTCAATCAGTCTTTGTGGTTTCTTCACTACGCGGCCACTGCGTGTACGGTATGGTTCAGTAGGCACAGCAGGTAAGTTAGTGATAGAGTTGTTGTTGTCACTGTGTTGTTTCTGATCAGTAGACTTGCTCCCAGTCTTCCTCAGTATAGACTTGGGGGCATGTGGGTTGAGTGACGGGGTATGTACGCTAGCAACTGGTGGGTCTGCAAAGCGGAGTGTCTTTCTCATTGGTTCAGTATTGCGAATGTGCACTCTGTTACGGCGTAAGCTTTGTCCAGTTGGTGTCTGAACAATGAATGATCTGGGTTCTGGACAAGCATCTTTGACAACTGCGGGTGTCCATTTCCCAGTGTGATGATCTTGAACCGTCACGTGTTGTCCCGGTACCAGTGATGATAGTTTGCGCATACCATCACGGTCATGGTACTCCTTCTGTTTGTCTTGGCGCTGGGCCAACCTGGCATACACGTCATCTTTGTCGTGCCGGTTGTGTCGAATCTTCGACGGAAGATTGTCCTTGAGTTTGCGACCATTGAGTAGCTCTGCAGGTGAGGGAAGAGCACTGTCTATCGGAGTTGTGCGGAGGCATAGGAGTGCAAGGTAGGGGTCCATGTTGGACTGCTTTGCCTTTGTCAAGGTCAATTTCACAGTCTGTATCATCCGCTCGATGAAACCGTTACTCCTTGGATACCTTGGGCTTGATGTTACGTGATCAAATTCCCAGTCTTGGGA